CACACGCGACGACTGTCTGGTCTCTTCACTTGCCGTCTCTTCAACAATTGAACGGGGAGGAGAATTCTGTTGAAGAGGATCATCCGGTTGAGGAAAAGGCAACTTATCATCATCAGGTTCACACACCTCAGCATCAAAAACAATATCTATTCCTTGAAGGTCATCATCAAGATCAGGTTTCATCTGGCTGGAAGCTGACAGTTTCTCCAGATCTGGTTTATTCTCAACTGGTGGCCCCAACTTTTCTACCACCACAGGAGGCGAGACCCCAACGCCACTATGGCGCTCTCTTTCACGGGCCATGAATTCGTCTACATGAATAGAAGGCGGACGTCCACTAGAGGATCCTATTCGTGGCAACGTAATGACATTTGAATTGGTGGACCCGTCGGTGTTTCTCTCTCTTGCAACATAGTCATCAACATGCATGGAGGGAGGTCGGCTGGTGTTAGGCTTTCGCTGCCGGAAAGTGTCGCGTCTGGTCGGACCAGAAGTGACAACAGATGGCATGGGCACCCGTGGTGGTGGGGGTGGTGCAGTCTCAGCAACTGAGGAAGAAACATCTCCCCTGCCACGCCTATTTGTTCCCCCATCCATAGAAGAGCTTCTCCTTCTACTCGCAAGACCGGTTTGCGTCAACCTATCGCGTAAATTTTCAGGACATTCCCACAAGAAATTATCTCCAAGTTCATCTAATAATCTATCACCGTCTATCCTTTCAGCACTTTTATCTACAAGCTTTTGAATCTTATTGGAGACTGTAGTAGGACCAATTGGGGGAGTGGAAGACACACTGATAATTTCATCTGCCTTCACTACTATGTTAGAAGAAGGCTCTTGCAACAAAAGCATTAGTAACTTTACTGATTCCTTGACCTGCAGGTACAGTATGAAACCCCATCAAACATATTTAGAAAAAAATTTGAAGAATATCAAATATACAAGGTGTAAAAAAGAACATTTTAAACTTTTGATCCTCAAACTTTGTTTTATTCAGTATTGGTGAATGACTGAAGATGAAAATTTCTTTCCATTTATCCAGTAAAAAGAACCAGAAAATTGTCAAATGTATCTTGAGAGTCGAGACAGTGAATATCCATGACAATTTCCGGTTGGTCTTGGCTAGAATGACTGAAAGTGACAAGAAATACAGCCATGTACCATAAGTGGAACAATAAAAGTCAGACTAAAAATTAGGGTGAGAAGATAATCATGCAGACACAAAAAAAAAAACTTAAGAGATACAGGAAAAAAAAAAGTAAGATGCTAGGAGAGAAACTAAGCATACATGGTTTAGATAAGCCTTGTCAAAACCCACCGAATTCATATACTCATTTACCATTGATCCAAATGAACCTGTATAGTTCTCTAAAGATTTCAAGCACTCTTCAAACATATCAGGTGGGCCACAACTCTCAACCTTTAAACCAAAAAGGTACCTGATTTCATCAACCCTTTCCAAGCTCACACTGAAGAAGCAAAAAGTAAACCATATCAAACAGAGCAAGGTATAGAAACTATATATATATATATATATATATATATATATATATATATATATATATATATATATATATATATATATATATATATATAT